GACGTTTCACTATTTCATACCTCTTTTTTTGTCCTTTGAATGGTAAAACTTTGAATTACTCGTCAATCATCGCCCTCACCCGCCCATACCTTGTTGCAAATCAAGGGATTAAAACCCACCATTCCTTCAAATGGTCGAATTCAAAATCGAATATCCAATATTTTATTCAAATCGAATTTGAATACACATTTTAGATGTTCAAGGAATATTGAATTGAATTTGAATCAGTGATTACATAATCGAATTCAAATATGCATTTCGACTATTGCTTGTTACTTGTAACTCAATCTTAATTGTTTTGCATAGTTAACTATAGTCTATTGGATAGTCGGTTACTGATTAAAACCAGTATGGCACTAGGTTCGATTATTACAGGTAGTCAACTATTAGGTGATAATAGTCTCGACTGTTATAAGTAGTCAACTACTACCTTATGAGCAATTGACTATCGATTATGTCCCAACCTTCGAATATTGGGTAGGAAACTCCTAAGGTTTGGAAGTTGATTCCTTAGTCTTTCATACTTATATTTTTCTTAGTAACTCAGTCTTTAAGTCTAGGAAGAGCATAAGAATCTTTTCTAACTTAACCATTAGTATTTAGGGATGTGGTAAAACTAGGGCAGGTTTGAGTTTAGCCCATATAGTGCATTCTTATCATCTAATTACACCAAGTCCTAACAAATAACATCACTTTAAGATTCTAGAACTTGATTTCTTCATTTTTTTCTTCTTGTTCATAAGAATATTCTTGCACTCCTTAGATAGTTCTTCTAAGAGAATCATTTGATATAGTTGCTCATTTGTAACTCATAACATTAGTATTCTCAATGAGTTTGTTATCATCAAAAGACATAAGGTCAACACAATATGGGGTAGCCCTTCCCCAAACCCCTAGATCCCCCAACTCGGATGAAAGTAGGGCTTAGTTGTAAGTCTCCACTACAACCATCTGGACTTTTTTAATAGGCTAGTTGGCAACTTTGCATAGTCTTTAATTCACAACAAGAGCATATCTACAACATCTCCAAATAAAATATTGAATCTTTTGGGATGAACATGTAACTTTCATATCCTCTTTTATATCTTTCAAAATGTATAATCATTAAATAAGGATGCAAAAGGTCTACTTTTATTCAAATTAAAATCTAATTTTATTAACACATTATCTAAATTTGATTTGCAAGTATGGTGGTGAGGCAGTATGGGATGGTCTCCTTGAAAGATGAAGATGGAATAGGGGTTTAGGTTAAGGTTCCAAGTTGAGGTTTCAAGTGGGATTTGGTTTCCAATGAGGCTTGGGAAGTTTCAGGTGATGATGGAGAGAGATCGTGTTCCGTCCCCCTTTTGATAGATAGGATCTCATAGTTATAAGGAGAAGAATTTAAAAGAAGACCTTTTCTATTAGGAAATGGGATAATTGTCCTTATGTCAGCTATTAAGGAAGTACCATTAGGGTTTCTCCACATGATTAGTGTGATCCTTTAATGACAAAGTTTCCTTTCTCCTAAGGATTCTTGCACAACACGTGTTGGCTACAGCCCTTTATGGGTTTTCATGTGGCCACGTATCAAGGACAAGATCTAAGTCTGATTGACGTGTTCGGTCGTCTGTTCAATCACTTTCGAGGCACATTGTCACAACTCGTTGTGACTAGAAGGAACGCCAATCACCCATAGGTGGATGTTTCTAATCTCAAACTCTATCCTCAATTCGTTACGACATGAGTTGTCATTTTCATGCTTGTTGCAAGGTACTAGTAGTGTATTGAGTTTGTCTCACTCACGATGTCATTTTGTGCCCATTGCAAGGTAGGGAAAGAAAGAAAAAAAAGAAAAAAAATAAAAAGAAAAGAGATAATTAGTCTATCCTAGAAATTCAACAAACTGTGTGACTGCAGTCCCTTAAGCAAACAAGAGAATGAAAGACATGAATGCTCTACAAATTTATTAATGATGCACTAGAATGGCAAAGGGAATGCCCTCAATTTCAAGAGAGATCATGTGTGTAAAGAAAGGAATTACACACCTTAAGACATCCATCCAGTTAACATTAAAAATAAGGTCATCTCCTCCAACTTTTAATCATATCTCTACTAGCAAAAACTGGTCTTTGTCACATATTTGGAGGCCATCAGCTCAAAGCTGTACTTGTCTACTATTATGCTGATATGAAAATTTCACACCATCTGGTTGAGGTTTCTATTGGTTATGGTCTTGTGGATGACTAGATCATCTGTAAATTTGTAGGGTTAGTGATGATCGAATTAATGACTTGTTGGGATTAGCCTGAGACACCATCTGGTTTAGGTTTCTTCTAGTTTTGGATGATTGAATCATTTGTAAAGCTAAAGTTTGTTCCTTCACACATAAAGCTAAAGTTTGTTTTCAAAAACTATCCTGATAGGTTGAGCATGTAATGCAATTTTTTCTAAGCAAACATAGAAAAATCTTAGCATATTTAAGCATACACAAAAAAAATAATAATAATCAGGACTCTTGTCCTGAAAACAGTAAGGAAAACATTAAAAATAAACAATATTAGAATGTTGGTTATTTCCGATGATCTTGTCCAACTCTAGAATGAGAGATCGACAGAACATGGTGATGCAAAATAGAGCATAGGAATGAGAAAAGTTTTCACGTACAAATCAAAAGAAAGAATTCATATAAAATTCTGGAACACGTTTAGGTTGGAAACTACCATCTAAAAGATCAATTCCCCTCGTTATTTGCTTTATCTGCTAAACATAATCTTCCATCTCCAACTTGTTGGGTCCTTCAAACTCTAATAATGGCTTTAGTTGGGATTTGGGTTTTAGAAGGGGAATAAGGGATTTTGACATGCCTAATATGCTTAACCTACTTCACACCTTGGAAGAAGTCTTCTTGGACCCTATTAATCCGGATGGTCGCATTTGGACTTGTTCTTCTTTGGGCATGTTTTCTTGTGCCTCATTCTTCAAAGCCCATTCTGAACCCTCCACTACCTCTTTCAACTCTTGCTAAAGAGATATGGTGCAAGCCTATCCCATCCGGAATTGTAGCTTTTTGTTGGGAAGCTGTTCATAAGAATATCAATACCTATGACTTGCTCCAAAAAAAGAGACCAAATTGGTGTTTATCTCCCAAGTGTGCTTTGTGTAAGACTAATGGTGAAGCATGCTACCACTTACTGATTTTCTATCCTTTTGTTGCATATTTGTGGGAATGGTTTCTTTCTTTATTTGGGCACAGGTGGAATCCACTAGTTGATGTTCCTAGCCGCTTTGCCCCTACAACCTTTGAATGGCCAAAGAAGAGGGGAAGAATCATGTGGAGATGTGGAAGGGCAGCTATACTGTGGATGGTTTGGGAGGAAAGAAACTCAAGAATTTTCTTAAGGAAGGAAAGAAGTAGGGAGGCTTTAATTGAATCTGTCACAATTAGAACTATACATTGACTAAAATCATTGGAACTATTATCTTTTATCACAACGGATGATCTACATAGGAACTGGAAGGAAGTGGCAGATTTTGCCCTTAAAAAGAACCCCACCAACCCATTGTGGTTTTCACCAAACGTAGGATTCATCAAACTTAACTTCGATGATAGCAGTATAGGGAATCCTAGTTTGTCAGGAATTGGTGGGGTGTTTAGAGACGAGGAGGGGAAGGTTAAAACCTTATTCTCAGGTCCAGCCAGTGTGGGGGATTCTCTCAGGGCAGAGGTTATGGCTATGATAGGAGTACGAAGGGCAAGACTATTGAATAACAGGAAACTAATTATTGAAGGAAATCATAGCTGGTAGTGGGATGGCTAATGAGTAAAGAAATGAAGCTATGTCACTACAACAATGAAAAGAACAAGTTTAATTGGTTGACCAAAGATATGGAAGTAAGAATACGATGGGTTAAGAGAAAAGTAAATTGCTTCATTGCTCTATTGGTATTGGCAAAGCAAGGGGTGGGAAGAGAAAATATTTTTTGGGCACAACTACAAAAAACATAATTTAGGAGGGGAGATAAGAGAGTTTATCTCCCAATCCTTGTATTTTTCTGTACACATATTTCTTAATTCTAATGAATTTGCAGTTATTGATAAAAAATCAGAAGAAAGAATGAAACATCGAAAAACTTACCGGCAATGACCTCCTACGACAATAGTTGCACTGTAGCATATAAGCGGTGAGGGGGAAAGAGGTTGGTGGTGAAGAAGAAGTGAAGACTTGGCAAAAACCCTACTTAGAATTTAGGGGTGGCTTGAGTTATTTGAGCTCGACTCGTGAAAAGCTTGACTCGATTTAAACCGAACTTGAGCCTAATATATAGGCTCGTTTGCTAATCGAGCCTAATATAATAAATAAATATTTTTTATTTTATATATACATACATATAAATATATACTAATACTAATACTAATACTACTACTACTACTACTACTACTAATAATAATAATAATAAATATTTTTTATTATATATAATAATAATATATTGTATAATATTTATATTTTTTATGTATAATAGTAAATAATTTTTATAAATCTTATTTTTTGTATATAAAATAATAAATTATTTTTATATGTATAATTTTTATTTTTTAGAAAATTCTTGACTCGACCAAGCTCGAACTTGCAATCTTTTGAACCGAGCCGAGTTCGAAGTCGAGTCTCTACCTCGAATCGGACTCGAGCTCAAATTGAACCTAACACTATTTCTACGAGGCAAGCTTGAATGTCTAGAGTTAAAATGCACATTTGCGTTTAAAGTTCTGATGGGCCACGAAACACCGAAACATTACTCATGCTGCCACATCAGACTACACATAGGATACACATCGACACCACATCACATATACATAACCATTGGGAGCAAGGGCTCACCGATGATGAACCAGCATTATAGGCGATAAAAGTGGAAACGTCAAACTGACTCCGACGTGGCATCGTTTTTTGATGAACGACATCGATACCAAAAAGACGGATAAAAGTGGAAACGGCGAACTGGTTCCGACGTGGCACATTTGCAGAGAGAGAGAGAGACGTAAAAGAGCAGGAAGTCAAGTGAAACGTAAAAGAAGGAAGAAAAAAGGACTGAGACCGGAGATCATTCCGGGAGGAAGAGAGAAGCAACGATGACTGACTATTCGGCCACCGGTGCTGTAGAAAATGGTTCTCTCGCCTTCATCGAGCACAAGGCCTATGCTAGGGTCGGCCTCCTCGGAAACCCTAGCGATGTCTACTACGGCCGGACTATCTCTTTCAGCCTCGGCAATTTCTGGGCTTCTGTTCGGTTGGAGCCGTCTGAACATCTCGTCATCCGTCCTCACCCTATTCATGATCTCGTTCAGTTCAATTCAATTACTCATATGGTTCTCTCTCCCTCTCTTTCTTTCTCTCTGTTACTTCTTTTCTGCTTGTTTTGATTCTTGTATCCAGATCTGCGGCGCATTTAAGATATTTCACGTATTGTATGAAACGTTTTGCTGTTCTTGATGTGTGGATTACAATTGCATGTAGTGTGTTTTGTGACTGCTTCTAGAATTGCTGGATTAGATTCACTGAGCTTATTATGCGCGTAATGCCATTTAAGTGAAAGATCGAGTCTTTTATGCTTGGACACTGAGTTGAATTGGTAGAATGGGAATCTTTTCCTTTTTATGTAATTTGATTTGATTAATACTGTTGGGAAACAATTATTAGATATTCATGTGTTTTAGGTGATTTGGACTCTAAACTATCTATCATACAGTTCTTTTCTTGCGTTTTTTTTTTTTTCTTTTTCTCTGTGAGTTCCAACCGGAACCTATGTTGTTAACTAGAATTCGTCTGGCCAAGATTGTGAAGTGCATTAGTGTCACCGATTTCTCTCTCTCTCTCTCTGCTCCCCCCCCGGCTTGAGCTGTTTGTTTAATTTATGAGCTTCTTTTCCCTTTAAAATTTGAGCTTGATCTTTTGGGAAGCTTAGGATTTCAGAGATTTTAGTCATACTGGTGAGTTTGTAGTCTTGTCATGCATGGCTTTTGCTTGCTACCTTGTTTAGAGTATTATTAGCAAAAGAGAGTACATGAGAAAATGTACAAAGGAGGCAAGCCAAACACAGGTTTACATAGGCATATTTCTACAAGTTTTCCTTGTATGCACCAGATTTGGCCAAGCTATCTGCTACAGAATTTACTCTCTAAGAATCCAGATTGGCTTTAAAAGATCTCTTGCCTCATCCAAATAGTGAGCCAACCTCCAAAGTGCGCCTTCCTTCTCCCCTAGACACTTGATTGTATTAATAGAATCGCCTTTGATAATTATCAAAAAAAAAAAAAAGAATCAATCACCTTTGATGACTACAGTTGTTAAGCCTAGCTCCTTGAATAAAGAGTCCACTTAACACAGATAGGATTTCAGCCTTTGTAGAATTGGCAATCTCACTGAAGACCCACCATGGGCTTCTATCCCTCCTCTTGAACACACCACCAATTCCCTTCTGCTCCATTTTTTTTAAGAAAAATAAAAAATAAAATTATTCAAGAAAGGAGAGGAAGGTACAACAAAGGTGATGAAAAATCACCCAGCCCCAAAGAGCAAGCAAAAAAACCATCCCACAAAAGATAGAAGAAGCCCCAACCAACAAACCAAATAAAAAACAGAAAAAGAACAACAGCCACCACCCCTAAAACAAAGACCAAATCCAAAGTGAGAACTATAGTAAGCTAAACAACAACACAAATGTCACCCCTCCCAACCAGACCAAAACCTTCCTTCTAAAAGACCTGGGCCCCTCAAATCCTTTTAATCTTATTGCATCTTAACACCACCCTCTTTGAAAGAATCCTCATTACTTTTCTTCAAAATCTTCTTTGTTTTCTTCACCTTCTTAACACAACACAAACCAAATAGCCCCCCTTCAGCCTGGCGAACACCTTTGAAACCTGAACTATTTGAATTTTCTGTGCTCTGGATCTTCTCTTTGTAGTCTCAGAACCTTCACAAAAACTCCAGAATCCTTTTGCTTTGAAGCTACCCTTTCTAATTCTAACACTGCATTTTTTCTCAAACACCTGATCTTCTTTACAATTTTATCATTGTTAGAATTTTCCCCTAACAAAATCCTTCTCTCTCTGACAACATCACTTTTGACGTTGGGAATTTTCTTCTCACTAACCACCTGAGTGTTATTCATAGTCTTCAGTGTCCAACAAGGACTTTCTTCCATTTTTCTAAAGGTCCCTCTTACAAAATCCTCTCCCCCTAAAAACAATCCCTGTTGCTCCAGGGTTTTCAAGAGCACTTTCATGAAAGCCCAGTGTCAATTCCTTCTCTCAATTGAGGGAAGCTGGTAACTCTTAGAGGACTGGGGGAAGAGAACAAAGTCTCCACCACATTCAAATGAATGTGATTAGGTAATCAAAGGATCTAGCTTTGTTATAAAAAATGTGGTTGTTTTGTTCTTCCCACACGCTCCACATTACTGCTTGAATCACCGTGCACCACAAACCCCCTTGAAAGGGAACCTAGAGTTATTGGCTCCTGGCACCAAGGCCCTGAAAAAAGACTTAGTTGAGGACTTACCAGCATGGTGATTCTAGATTCATTAGTCTGGATTTGAAGGGCAAATGTAGACCTCTCTTAAGGAATGTAGCAAATCTGTGAGTTTTAGCAATCTCTATATCCCTTAAAGGTCTTCTTAAACTTAGGTTCCAATTTGTTACAGGAGGCAAAGTAGGAAGACATGAAGCAATGCTGGCTTCTTGGGTTTGGGAAAGGTTAAATAAGAAGGGGGGGGGGCGTAAGAGTTAGTCAATGTTTTTTCTCTCCACCAGAGGTCAGTCCAGAATTTGATTTTATCCCCACTCCACACTTTGTATCTAATAAAAGAAATAAAGGTGTTGTAGAAAGAAGAGATGCCTTTCCAAGGATTTCTGGCTTTCATTCGATTCAAGTGGAACTTGCTATCCCAACCATTGGCATTCTTCCCATATTTGTTGCTGATAACAGAAGTCCAAAGAGCACCTGTTTCAAGGGGATATCACCATATCCATTTCCCTAGAAGAGCTACATTCCTCGATATGACCTAAGCCAAGACCTCCAACTTCCTTTGATCTGTATTTTGCAAACTTGAACCCAACTGACTAGGTGGTTTTTCTTCTCTCCACCCCCGTCCCACATGAAGTCCTGCTGGAGTTTTTCATGTCCGTTTTTGACCTTGGCTGGAATTTGGAAGAGTGGAAGATAATAAATTAGTAAGTTAGCCAAAGAGGCCTTGATTAAAGTGAGCCTTCCTCCTTTTGAAAGGTAGCTTTCTTTCATGTAACCAACCTTTTTTTCACACTTCTCTGCTGTTGGATCCCAAAAACTTTGGCTTCTTGGATTCCCTCCAAGGGGCATCACCAAATAAGAAATGGGAAGCTTCTCCACTTTACACCCTAACACCTCCTTGAACCTATTCACCAGACTCTCATTTGTGTTTATTCCCACAATGTTACTCTTAGGCCCTGTTCGCTTTTCGGTAAGTTATTTACCCGGGTAAATGCACTTACCCAGGTAAGTGCTTCCCAGGAAAGACTTACCTAGGTAAGTGCATTTACCCATGTTCTTTTATTTCCCATGTAAAAGGCAATGACCATTTTAGTCATAAAAATCCATTATTACAAGGGGCATTTTTGTCTCATTCAAGTGTTGGCAACTTTCCTCCAAGGTGGAAAAGTTATTTACCCACCTAGGAGATGGGTATCACTTACCCGGATAAGTGATACCCAGGAAAATAAACTCACATAAATCTGAAATAAGAACATGGAATTCTTGGTCAATGGGAATCAAAATCCCATTGACCATCTTTCCCCCCTCTCAAAATCCAGAAAAAGAACGCCCCCTTAGAGAAGTTTACTTGAAGACCTGACACCTTCTCAAAACAAGTGATTACCCTTTTTAAGTTGTTGATGTTTTCCAGGTCAGCCTTCAAGAATAAAATAATATAATCTCTAAATAAAATGATATTTAGAGTGCTATGAACTACTATTTACTTCCTTTCCTCCCCTATATTCTTACAAATGTGAGCATTCTATTTCTAATAAAAAAAAGAACATGAAAAGAAAAGTTTATCTCTTTTTGCTGATCATTCTTTGTAAGCCAAGTTCTTTTTCTTTGTTAATGTGCTATTAAAGAATATTGTTATGCCAGGGATTTTTTTTAAACAAAGCGAAACTGTTAATTTTTCCCCTTTTTATAAGCAAATACCTATTGTATATGGGCTATGCCCTTTTTAATTTCTGTATGATAATACAATGTACCTCATCTTTACTAAATAAGATAAATAGTTGATTTACGAGGACAAGCAATAGATAGAACTTTGGTTTTATAGAAACAAAGAATCTGTTGACTCGTTATTTAATTAACTCCCTCTTCAAATGCTTTTCCAAGTTATTCCTCTATCTCCAAATTTCTCAAGCATATGTGGCATCTATACAAGAATGGATTGCATTTGTTGGAAAATTCTCTATATGGAGTTTCTGTGCAGTTTGGAAGCAATTCATTTTGCTAATAGATTCTTCCTACAGGTAAATCGGTTGCAAAGTGAAGGTTACTATGGAGGGGTGCGCTTGCTTATGGCTGTTTGCAAAGTTTTTTACAATTATTGCAAGGATAACAAGATTGATCTTAATGGTGGCAATTTTACACTCTCATATGATACCAACATTCCTCGCCAGGTAACATTTGAGAACAAGAGCAGGTAGTATAAGAGAACTGCTTGACTGCTTGTTACATGTGCATTACAATGAAACTTCACCACATTAATTATATGATGGAAATATTATTGTATCTTGATATTTTTGCACACCTTATCCATGGTTTCTATTTTTTTGAAGGCTTCATGATTTCTATTAAGAAATAGTTTATTGCATAATTTCATAGTACATATTGATCTTAATGGTGGAAATTTAACACTCTCACTTGATACCAAAATTCCTCACCAGGTAATATTTGACAAAAGTGGCAGAAAGAATATAAAAGAACTGGCTAGCCAACTGGTGTCACACTTCATCTGCTTATAGAAGATCATGAATCCATGTTTGCTCTTAATTTCTTATCCTTTTTAGAAGATCTGTTCCGTGTCACTACCCTTGTCTTCTGTAACTTCATCCTGTTTTACTTAAAAACAAAGAACTTCTTGTTACATGTTCATGTTAATTCACCCCATTAAACATTAACTATATGATGGGCATATTTGAATCTTAATATTTTTTTCCCATCTCATCCATGATTTGTATGGAGAAATGGTTTCCAGATCATCTTCTAAACCATTTTTATTATGGTTACAGAAGACTAATAAACAATTTTTTTTGCATCCAACTTCTGAGAAACAAATGAGTGATCTAGGAATGTGCAACAACTTTCTGGGAAATGTGAATTCAAGAATGTCATCTGTGCCAAATACATCATTATTTGATAGAGTCAAACATCAAAGTGCTAGATTTGATATTCATTCTCAGCACAAATGTAGGCAAGTTTATCATTTAACCAACATTAATTGTTAACATGATGATTTAAAGAAGAGTTAGTTATTTCTCCCTTTTTGTTAATGAAAATTGACATGTAAATATGTACATTTCAATATTGCATTTAAGTATTTGGAAATTATTAATGGTTTATAAAATCTAGGTACTTTTGTTACAGTAATTGGATTTTTGCATTTTTATAGCTCTTATTCTTTATGGAAAAACATTTTCTCACACTTAAAGAGAATCTCTTTTCCTAATTGCAACATATGGCCAAAGTTTTTATTATGGTTTTGGTATTTCAGACAGGGCTTTCTGGTTCCAGTGCCATTGTTTGTGCTGCTTTAAGTTGCTTACTTGATTTCTACAAGGTCAGACACCTGGTTAAAGTTGAGGTCAGGCCCAATCTAATTCTTAATGCAGAAAAAGAACTTGGAATTGTTGCTGGTCTTCAAGATCGGGTCGCACAGGTCTATGGCGGCCTTGTATACATGGTACTGTAATATTTTAAATTTTGAAGTAATTTTCAATTGGTCCAATTTTGTCATTTTCCAGTTGTCAGATTCCTTGTTGCTTTTTGTGAATTTGTTTAATATGAAAACAAGAAATATAACCATTCTGATTGATTCTTTGACAGGAATTCAACAAGGAGCACATGGATAACTTGGGACATGGTTTGTATACTCCCATGGATATTAGTCTCCTTCCTCCTCTCTATCTCATTTACGCTGAAAACCCAAGTGATTCTGGCAAGGTTGGCTTCCTATAATGTCATGTATCCCTCTTCAATTTATAAACTTAACTGACAGAAGATGCAAATATTCCTGTAGTCAGTTGTGTTCTCTCATTCACTGGGAATGCCTCTTGGTTTCTTGTATAAATATTCTCCTGTTTTGTCATTGCCCTTGCATCTATCCATTATTTGAGCATACTTTGTCATACAGTAGTTAAATATTAGAAAGTCCAAGCTGTATGTTTTCTTATTATATTAAATCTATGTTGCAGTTTTTTCATCAAATTAATAGTTTCTTGATAAAGGAATATGCAATATAATACATTGGCAGCCTATTACAACACTGGGGGATACTTGTTGAAGGAGTAGTACTATGCACATCAGCTTGTATGTGCCATGTGATGTACTACGTGTGGAAGGAGAGGGCTGCTGTTTGATGCATTCCACTTGATTTCTAGGTTAGAAACTGATGGAGAAAAAACAAGTGTAATGGTCCAAGATTATAGACTAGTAGCATAGTTGTCAAGGTGTTGCCTAGGTGACTAGGCACCCTTGGCTGGGCGCCTTGCCCAAACGCCTTGACTTTTAGCAACTAGGCACCCGCCTAGGCGACAAAAATGACAAGGCAGGCATCTGTTATAATATCATTTATATTGCTGTATCTTATTAATGTATGCTAAAAGATTTTATTATATGCTATATATATATATCAATTATACCTTATTTTAATGTTTTATTATTGAAATTTAAAAGATCAAGGGGTTTTGAAGAGAGAAAAAGAGAGAAAGAAAGAAAAAAAGAAAGAGGAAAGAAAGGATATAATTATAAGGAGGTTTTTTTTTCTATTCTTTCTCTCTCTCTAATTAAATAAAACAGAAACTCCATCCTTGTTTTTTCTATTTTACATTCCATCTTGAATATTTATCATATAAAGTTAATAACCTTATTTAGCTGCTAATTGATATGAAATTGCTCTTTTAAATACTTGTTATAGTAGTATTATTTTTGAAAATAATGAAATTAGTATATGTAAAAGATTTTTATTTTTTAGATGTGATGATTTACCACATATTTAAAGGAAATTTAATGTTCTTACTAAAGAGAATTGCCATTTTTCCAATTAATATACATGCTGAATGATATATAAAACTAGGGAACTAGCCAAAAGTTAGTTTTTTGTATTATAAAATTTTTATTGCCTGGGTGACGCCTAGGCAACTAGGAGACTAGGCGCCCCAGTGTCGCCCAGAATCGCCTAGACACCTTGAAAACTATGATTAGTAGTGTAGTACAGATCATCTTGGTGTTAAGAAAATATATACTATCCTTGTTATTTTTAACCTTAAAGTTCATCTTGGTGCAACCCATTGAATCTTGTTTCCATGCCATGCTACTTTTTTGTCTATTTTATTGTTTAATATGAGTTGTTCATCAAATTTGTCAAAACAGGTACATAGTACTGTTCGCAAGAGGTGGCTTGATGGTGATGAGTTTATCATATCATCAATGACAGAAGTTGCAAATATTGGTTTAGAAGGACGTACAGCCCTACTTGAGAAGGACTACAACAAACTTGCAGACCTCATGAATCGTAATTTTGATCTTCGAAGGTAAGCCCTGGAAAAGGGGGAAATGAAAAGAAAAAGCTATGGAAAAATTACTATTTGGGGCACTTCTAAATTTTCATTTACAATAAGGGATTGTGATAAAAAAATTTCCTTTTTCTGCTGATAAAAAAGGGATTGCGAAACAAAAATCTTTGCGAAAAAAAGAACTTCTGCCCACTTATTCCTCCTTTTGTTCAATTTTTGCTCACTATTTTTAAAATGGCTTTTACACATCTAATAATCTTTTTAATTGATTTTTATTATTATTGAGGAGAGGTCCATTAATAAAGCATTTTTTTCCTTTTTCCTTTGTATTTCTACTTTTACGCATAACCTGACTGCCAAAGTACAATTCTGTTTTCTTCTGTTTTCAATTTTCATATTTATTTAATTAATCATTTATCTATTTTGATTTCCAACAACATGATTCCAGCAAGTTAATTTTCAATCAAAATAGTGGCAGTGCAGGGGAAAGAATATAAAGACATAGTCATCTTTTTTATTTTTAGTTGATAAAACAAGTAATACAAAACGGGGTTTGTATTAGATCTGGGACTAACTTTAGAAACAAGAAAGATTAATGCAAACAGTTTACTGAATGATGTTGGCAAAGAGTTTTTTTTTTGTTGATATTTGGTATAGAGAATTTAAATCATACCTCTTCTTTTTGTAATTTTCCCAAAAGCTATTTTGGCATCAACTTTGCAGTGTAATAAGAAATAACATGTTTATACCGTTCTTCTGAGAATCAAGATTCTACCACTTCCACAGTACATAGGTTCTCTCACAATATGATCCCTTGAACTTTTAATATCATATTAATTTTTCATGGTTGGTTTGACCATGGGATAACATTTAAGTTGGTGAAATTTAACTCAAGTATTATGATGGATCTTATTAGTTCTCATATTCCAGGTTTTCTCTTTTTTAGTTTTTGTTTTATCTTTTTATTTGTCATTCCTTTTTAGCTTGATACACATTTTGGGTGTTTTCTAGGCGGATGTTTGGGGATGAAGCCCTTGGTGCTATGAACATAGAGATGGTAGAGGTGGCTAGAAAGGTGGGAGCCGCGTCAAAATTTACTGGAAGTGGTGGAGCCGTGATTGCGTTCTGTCCAGATGGACCTTCACAAGTGAAGCTTCTTGAAGATGCTTGCCAGAAGGCAGGATTCATTGTTCAGCCAGCAGTAGTTGTCCCTTCTTTTCTAAATGATGTTGATCTCAAGACTCTTTCCTCCAGATGACTAGCTGTATATTTTAGAGAACTCTGGTGTCGATGATGTCTTTTTTCATGCTTGTCATATTTACTAGTCAGCCATTCATTTTTGACTTCTGTGTTTTTAATTTAATAGTAATAAAATATCCCATTTCTTCTCATCAATGGTTGTTCGACTTCTCTTCAATGATCATCTCTTTGTATTAATTTTCTGAACTAATGGATTTCTGTATCTATTTGAGATGTTCATTTTGAGTGTGGGCCTACATGAATTGGCTTTTGCGGGGTTCTGAAACCATCTTAAATGAAAATTGCGATTCTAGTTTTCACTCTTCAGCATAATTTGAAACCACACTCTTCTCTGAAGTGCACTTTCAAAATAACCTCATTTTTATATTTCTTTAGCAACCGAGAAGGATTCCTTTTGGATGGTGAACTATTGCTCCAAAGTGCAATGGAAGACCATAACGAAGATGTTTTGTTTCTTATGGTCCTCAATGCCCAATAATTTATACCAAAAAAGAATGAGAATGCTCCAAAAGTTCACAAGTACATGGATCATTCAATTTGAATATCAACTGGATTTGTTGCTTACCAGAAACCAAGTGAATTTAATGAGCTTTTATGATTGAGATCAGTTATTCAATTAAAATTTGGGAGCTGTAAATGTGAGAAGGGTGGCTGGCAGTTCACAATTGAAATCAATAGCCAGACCATAGAAGCATTTTCTTGCATTGGGTGTTCACTTGTTTCAGTTAGACTTGAGGTTGGGTGGCTTGCAAGTTGCAACCTAAAATCCTGCTTATGCAAGGGACATAGAAGTAGTCAAACTAAGTTGATAAATCAAGTCAACTGCAGAGCAAAGCCCTGTTACCTGGACCAAAATTTTGAGATCTTTCTCTATACTGAATGTTACTTACGTGATTTTATTGAGAAGCACTCAAGCAGCACCAGATATACATGTGATTCATGGTAAATATTGGAAGCATAGTAGATTCCAAGCTGAAGAATCCCTCTTGCTCGCTTGCTTGCTCTTGTGATTTGTGAAGCTTTGGCTGTAAGTACTACAATATTGCCTGCTTCCTTCTTCATGGAGATGACAAAGTAAATAAGGAACAAGATATTCTCGTGAAATTTGCTAATATTTTAATGAAAAGGAAAAAGTTGATTGAGGTGCAAAAGCTTGAAAAAAACGAGAATGTGATTAGACCTTGGGGATTGGGATGCCCATGCTAAGGTTTGCTGCCTTATGTCTTCTTCTTCTTCTTCTTCTTCTTCTTCTTTTCTTCTGAATATTTAAGAAATTTTCTACTTATTTGCTTTTTATTTATGCTCGATTTTGAAAGACAACTTTCTGTATGTGTGCAGCTGGGAAGTTGTCTAGTAGAGTTATTAACTGAAACAGCTTCTGTACAACCTCCAGGTAACCAGTTAGGAGATAGTCACTTGAAGTTCGACCAGCATTTTAGGCACATATTTAAAACTCTACCAAAGAAACAGAGTATGACTTATATATGCTGTTTTCTGAGTAGATGTTTTATGTTAGTTGTTAGATAGGAGGTGGGGACCATAGTAGTTATGTGAGTCCAAATTTTATTATGTTTTTGAGTCTTATATATGCTGTTTTATGTTTTGCTGCCCTATAAGGGCATAGTTGTCTTTGTACTGCTCTATTATTTTTAGTATAAATAATAAGTGAAGGGGCGGCCAGGTTATTGCCCTCTTTTCTTTTCAAGTTCTCTTCTTCTCTTCTTCTCCTTCTCTCTTCAAGAAACTACCTTTTCTATTCATATTTTTGAATTCAGCAGATTTCTACTACTTCATTTCTGTCTTCAATAATTCATCCTCAACAATCTTTACCTTATTTGTCCATGACATAATCATGGTCCACTAGGTCACCAATCTGGATTATATGATGAGTGCTCCATTTCTGTGATGAGCATGGTCCTTAAGTTGTATTGGCTGGATGCTTATAGAAGATTATATGTCAACCATTTTTTCCGCCACTGTTATATCTTAATTGTCAAAAATTTTAACTCTAGTTCTCAAAGAAGATTCTTTAGTTGATCTAAGTTTTGGTTTATTCTCAGTCAAGAATTGGCCAACTAATTAAGATGTTGGGATTGAAGAGATGATCAGCTACGTGTACTTCGGTGTTGGGTATGGAGTGTTGAGGATGAATTTATCATTAGCTCCATCACACTTTGTCTCTATATTTCGTCATGGTTATGATTTTTTTTGGTCCATACAGCTGGAGGGTTGGGAAGAGGTATGGTGTCATTGAATGTGATCCGCTAGTTGAGAGGACTTGATAGAATTTTAAGTTATCAACATATCAGCTGCTGATGCTCTATCCTGAATTGTTTGGGTGAATTGAGATGAAAATGACCATAAAGTTGTTTACTGTTGCATTATTTGATGGTTGTTTTTTTATGAATATATGTTTCTTACATTAATATAAGATCAATATCATGAAAACATATACTCGAGTAATCATCAAGGTTTCATGTCAACTCTGCATGAGTTCGTGTTCAGCTTCTAAATTGAATATTTTCTACTATTCTATACCATAATATTTATTTTTCTGAAGTAAGCAATAAACATATTTTCTCTGTTGAAAATTTTAAAATATGCATAACCAGCCACTTAGAAATTGTCAGTATCTTATCTTGATTTTTCACCCTATAGCTAATTTTTCAGATGACTGTATTTGCAAGCTAAGCATATGGTGATTCCTTATGTGCCAATGTTGGTACCACCGAAAAGGTGGAAAGGGTACCATATCAAGGAGGCATGTTATGTCAATATGCAGTTTCTATTCCTCCCATCCCCAACCCAACTCTTTAATATACTGCTTTGAAGGAGGTATTTTCTGGATGGGAAATTAAACCAGATGAATTATGTACTATATGATATCATCTCGCACCAACAATGAATTGAAAACAAAGAAATACATAAATTGGAAAAAACCATTGCCTGGCTCTTCAGAAAGATGTTGGCACACTGCTTTTTGAAATTGATGTTATTACCTATATGTAAGCATATGCAATGTGAAGAAAAATACCTTAATTCCTTAGGCTAGTATTCAACTATAGAGACAAAAGTAGGAAAAAAATTCCCTAATTGCTTAAGGTGGGTGAGACTGTATTTCTACTGTCATCAGAAGAAAGTAGGGCAAAAAGTAGTTGTAGATCATTTTCAAACTTAAGGCAGCAATTGTCAACATCTTTGTAAGGTGATAGCTGGATATGTTGAAAAGTTACTATTCTAAGAATGAAAGGCAAGGAATCATACGTGTCCTTATTCATCCTCTTTTCTATCAGGCATGACAAGGATGGCCACTTCATAGGTTATGTGTCCTCGTGGGGCAAAGCAATAACAAGGTACAATTAAGAATGTCTCAGGAAAGTATATGCAAAAAGTATTTGAGGTAATAGTTCCATTTCACTTAATTATCTTTAGAATATTCTTGAAGGTAATATTAATGATGCCATTACTTTTTGTCTAGCTAATAGCAGATCCTAAGGCATTATGTGGCATCCATCATTACTGCAGATATCACATCACTGTCAAAATAATACTCTCTTCTTCAAATTGTATTGCAGAGTGACCTTTTATCTGTCATTTGAGGTGACCATATACTATATCATATATCACTATGAACCTGCATTTACAACCCTTATTTTCAGCATTTTATATCTTATCTACTCATGAACTTCTAACTCTTATTCTTCAATGAAAATATTGAAATTTAGTTAATCTACTCGTATTGAAGCTTCTTGGATGTATTTGGCTGCAAACATAAGGAGGACTTTATGCTGTAAGCATGTCTATAAGCAATACATGGAACATACTTGCACATTTGAAGGGCCAAAATTAAGTCTAAGGGCGGTCACTTTGTGTGAAAAAATGCCAAAGGTTAGGGTTGTACCTATAATCCAGTCTACCCCTCCCAAGGCCCTAAATAGCTGGGACCAATATTGGGTAATGCCTTCTAGAGAAACTTTTATACGTTTGAAATGATGAAAAATAATCAGATCATCATCATCATCATCATCACATCATCCATGCCTTATCCCAACTATATGGGGTTGGCTACATGAATCCTGTTTTGCCAATCCAGTCTATTTAAAGCAATATCCACTGTTAAATTGTTAGTGCTTAAATCATTTCTTACTACTTCTACCCATGTTCTTTTCGGTCTACCCCGAGTTCTTCTAGCCTCCTCAATGTGTAACAAATCATTCTTCTAACTGGTGCAATTGGTGGTCTTCTAACTGCACAACACTCTGCTCCTTACAACATAGCTGGCCTTACAACTGTTTTACAGAATTTTCCTTTTAATTTAAGTGGTATTCTCCTATCACATAAGGGTATGTTGGTTTGAAGGAAAAAGTAGGAAAAGGAAGGGAAAGGTACTATAAAAGATTTGTATAGGTTTCCTTAGCTTTCCCTACCTTTTCCTTAAAACCAAACACAGCCTAAAAGTCTAGATGCATCCCTCCATTTTGCCATTCTGCTCTAATTCTTTGGGTGACATTCTCCTCAATCTCTCCCCTGTTATCAAAAAGTAAGCAGATCATCTGTTCCTTATTTGCCCGATAGCTAGTGGTGCATAAATTATTGGGTAAAAGACTTAAACCTCCCCTGAGTTTTCCCATAAATACAAATACCTCCCCTATAATTTCTAATAGGACTTAAACCTCCCCAGACCATATAAAATGCTGTTATATTTGACAGAAGCAATAAAAAGATGCTTTTGTCCTTCAATATTTTTCAAATTTTCAAAGTGAACCACCGAAACTACTCAATTTGAAAAAAAAACCTCTGTTCTTTACAATACAAATTGCCCCAAATGAACAGATAGGGAGACATTGTGCAACCCACCATTTCTAAGTAAGACCAAGCTTTTAAGGTGGGATTCAAATATAAGAAAGATCTTACATATAAGGATAACACGTGTATGTAAGATAGAAATATTGTGCAACTAACACAATCTTCTCTAATACATTATTTGTATACTTAATTATTATAATAATACTGGCTTAAGCAAGCCATTACTTCACTACAATATGAATTCGAACGGTTTTCGTTGGGAGCAAATCCAGTCTCTTCGAATATATACAAATACAAATCAAATATTAACGATCGACATTTTCCCAAAGAGTCCTCTCTCTCTCTCTCTAGTGGTGTTACCAATTCAAACATAAAGTGTTGAGTTCAAGCTTCATTGTTCCCGAAGGCTGGTCCCTTTCATCTTTCCGCCACTGACCCCCTCAAACCTAATAGTGATGTTACTCAACACAGCACTGCCTCATGGCATTGGGAAGTTTTATTTTTCAGGTTTTTTGTTTATTTGATTTTCTTTGTAGTTTCTTAAAGGGAAAAAGTGGACTTTTGAGAAAATATAAGACAAATATAACGTCAAGTCAAATGGGATATCGAAGATAGTTAAGAGGGGTATTATTTCACATGGGAGGTTTAAGTCCTATGCCAAATCACGAGGTATAAGTATTTAGAAGAAACATTAGGGGAGGTTTAAGTTTTCTTACCCTAGATTATTTCTGCATTTTCCTAGACCTCAGTTGGTGTCAGATAAAATCACTTGGGAATCATTTGAAGAGCTGGAAGTTGGGGTTCTTAATAGGATGGGGAGAAAATTATATTCTATACCAGTAGCTGTAACTTGGTGAATTTGGATATAGAGATATCTCAGGATTTTCGAAGATGAGTTGTTGATGCTAGGAGCTGATTAGGAGGGTAATGGGAATGCTTCTATCCTGGCTATCAGTACAGGAGCAATTCCTACCACACATTTTATTTATTCTGAATTTCTGTTTTCAAATAGCAAGTCTCTTTATTTGAACTTACTTTTGTCTAGTTCCCTAGTTTTATATACCATTCAGCATGCATATTAATTGAAAAAATAGCAAGTCTCTTTATTAAGAACATTAAATTTCCTCTCAAAATGTGGCAAATCATCATATCTAAAAGATACAAATTTTTTAAATATTAATTTCATTTTTTTTCAAAAATAATATTACTATAAGAAGTATTTAATAGACTTCTATTCACTTATTCTTTCTTTTTCTCTTCTCAAAACCATTTGATCTTTCAAGTTTCAATAGTAAAATCATCTACCTGATAGGACCAAACCAATAATGCAAGTTCTGGTTCTGAGTTTTGTGTCCTGATTATAATTGGGCCAGCACCTGTATTTGCTGTTTTGAACCAATTAAGACCCAAGTCGATTGTGTAATCAATAATATATAAAAGTGTCATGGTTTTCTTGTAAACTTTGTTATTTTTTATGTCCAAAAGGGTAAAGTTTCATACAGCATTTACGATAATTTTAGTTAAAAAATTCTTGTTTTTATCAAGAATGTGGTTCAGGAGTCGGGACGAATGGATCCCTTCAGAAGAACAAAGGCTGAGGTTGGATTTTGATGGAAGTTCCTTGGATAATCCGGGTCCCTCTGGAGTTAGGGGAGCATTCAGAGATGGGGAGGGTAGACTGATCACATCTCTGAATTGTTAGGGAGGGTTAAGTTCTTTTACCTCTCCCTTTATACTGTATCTCTCTTTAATATTTTTAATAAAAGTTACTGTTATTGATAAAAAAAAGGGTAGACTGATCACATTGTTTTCTGGACCAATAGGTTTGGGAGATTCACTAAGATCCGAGGTTACGGCCGTACTTCAAGGCTTGAGGCTGGGTAAGCACTGGGGCTTTCACAATCTTGAGGTGGAACTTGGAAGGGGATAAGTTACTAATAGGGTAGTTGCAGATTTGGGAGTTTAGACATATAGAGAGAAAATGAGGGAAATAATCTACTTAGCAAGGGAAGTTGGGGCATTTTTCAAGTGGATCAGGAGATCAGCAAATGGTTTGGCTGATACATTGGAAAAGCAAGGGACCTCTTTGGGCTGTTTGCAATCTTTGAGATTAATTCTGGGCCTTTAGGCTCAACACTCTTGTAGTAAGTGGTTGACATTCTCCTTAACTAAATAAGCAATGAAAGTTACTGTATCCAATAAAAAAATTTGCTTTATCAACATGTAAACAGATTATTATTTACTATCATTTCTATTAAGGTTTTGTATTTATCAATATAAATCTCCAAGTTGTCATATTATAGATGATTATAGCCTCCTCCTAAAGTAAAGGAGAAGGCTATAATGGTGTGGCAACCACTGGCTAGCCACAAGCTGAAGCTAAATTTTGATGGAAGCTCTCTACGAAACCTGATTATCCTGATTAATAATTGGTTCAGTTCTGGTTCTGAGTTCTGTGTTCTGATTATAATCGGGTCAGGACTGGTTCCACACTGTCCCATACCTGACCTGATACATTGACAGCACCATTAGAGCTTAACAGTCCCAACTGTAGGGCGGCGGAGTAGCTATCTATCTCAAATAAGAAGTATTGCAACTGTACCAGACTTTTTGTATAGTGACTCAAAGCCATTTTTCCTGAGAAGTATATTGCTTATCCCTTTTTTATTGATAATGATCAGATTTTGTTTTTAAAGAATAATAATAAGAGCTACTAGGTGAAGCATCATTTTCTCCAATAATAATTTAGTAAAATGATAAAAGAAGCATTAATACATATTTCTAGGCTATTATCTTATTCCCAACCATTATATAAAGCTAAGAAACTAAGATCACTAACAAATTAGTAAATGACGATTTACTGATCTATTATGCATTTTGATGTTTTTACAAGGTTACATGATATTTTCTTTTCTTATTTTTAATTCTGATTCATTATAAATTCTAATATAYTTATTTCACACTAGTAAATAGAAATACATTTATTCTGATTTTTTTAAATATTAAAGTTATAATACATTATGTTTTATTATAAATTTAATAAACTGATTCTCCTTTTTGTAGTATTAAGATTATGATAAATTCTGATTTCTTATAAAACTTAATGAATTTATTATGATTTTTAACATTAAACTTATAATAAATTATGATTTAGTATAAAATTTAATAAATTTATTCTGATTTTTTATATTAAATGTAGAATATGATTTATTATAAAATTTAATAAACATTTTCTGATTTTAATAAATATTTTAAAAAATACTAACTAGTTAATATTTTATTACTTGAAAAATATTTTATGTTTGAAATTATAAAGTAATTAATTTATTCTTTTTTTATATATTTTTAATTGTTTTTTATAAATATTTTATTTGAAATATTAAATGGAATAATTTATATTAATATACTGTATTATAATAATATAATATACTAATATATTATATTATTAATGTACATTAGTTGACATCCTGTCGACATAATAGGAAAAACTGTCTTTATTTTTGGTTATTTGGACTGATTTGGTCAACATTTCTGAAATATAGGAAATGCCGACTGAAATAATGTAATTTTTATATTACCATCCATTTTCATGTCGGTGAGCCTCGACATCGACATATGTCGGGCGACATTAGCGACATTTCGTGACATTTGAAACCATGGAGAAAATATTTCAGTTCAAACAGAACCCCAACCCCAATTGGACCTGAAAAGACTATTATGACATGACCTTGATCATTTCTAAATACTCTCCAACTCTGAGTTACCCAGTTTTCCAACACTGCATCCATCATACT